CCTCCCGGAAGCTGCCATCTTTCTTCATTTCCCGGGAGCCGAGCGCTGTTGAAACAAGCGCTCCTGCCTGAGATGTCAGCACTGCAGGAACGGACGCGGGAAGCCAGGGATTGTTAGAAGGAGCCCCAGACGCGTATGGATGTTCCCTCATTAAGGCTGTCGGTCTCGCCGAGCACCTGCTAGAGATGCAAGGCTGTGCGCAGCGCCCTGGCTCTTGCAGGCCTGTCTCTGAAGGCAAACACCTGTCTGGGGCCAGTCCACACGGTGCCGGCGTCGGGACTCTGGAGGGCCTGGGCCTGGCACCGCGCCCGGGCTCAGGGCGGGGGGGTCGGGGATATGCACCCCGTTCGTTCTCTCGTGAAGACCCTTCTTCCTACGTAGGCGCTGGGTCTGATGGCGGCCTGGGTGGCCACAGGACGAAGGGGCCAGGGGGCATCGTACTTGACCTCTGAGCAGCATTGGACCCAGGCAAATGGCTCCCCTTCTTGGAAAAATGTCCATCAGGCCCGGCCGGTGTGGCTCTGTGGCTGCGTGTCCACCTAGGAGCCAGGCGGTCACGGTGTGATTCCCGGTCAGGGCACATGCCCGGTGGCGGGCTCCGTCCCCAATAGAGGTCACGCAGGAGGCAGCCGATGGATGTGCTCTCTCATCGATGTTTTTCTTTCTCTCTCTCCCTCTCCTTCTCCCTTTTTCTCTCTCTAGAAAAGAAAGAATGGACACCCTGCTCGTTTGGCTCAGTGGATAGATCGTCGTCCTGCGGACTGAAGGCTCTGAGTTCAATTCCAGTCAAGGGCACAGCCGGGTTGTGGGGTCGATTCCAGTCAAGGGCACATGCACGGGTTGTGGGCTCCATCCCCAGTGGGGGGCGTGCAGGAGGCAGCCGATCCATGATTCTCTCTCATCATGGATGTTTCTGTCTCTCTCCCCCTCCCCCTTCCTCTCTGAAATCAATAAAAATATATTAAAAAGAAAAAACAAAGAAGAAGAAATGGACATTTTAAAATCTCTGACGCATCGTTATTTCCCAGCGACCACGCCGACGCCCCACATTTCTGCACATCACGCCCCCCCCCCAAGGTCAGGACACGGAGGCAGGCCCGTCCCCACCTGGAAAGGCCAGGCGATGCTGCAAAGCCTCTCATCTGTCTTGCGTTTTCCACAAGCCTCACCCAGAGCCATAACTCACACTCTGATGCCA